CCACGCTGCACAGCCTCTGCCATTACCACCATCCCACTAGGGTGAAATGCTCTCCACAAAATGGTGAAGGTGCATTCAACTATTGCTGGATGAAGGAGTCTGCAGACAGGTGCCTGTTATACCTACAGACCGACGGTGTTGAGCTCCGCTCTGTCCTTAACATCTGGCTGCTGGATATGCCCATTTCAGAGAGAGGGGTATTGAAGCCTCCTACCATGATTGTGAATTTATCTATTTTTATTTGTATTTTTAATGGTATCTGCCTGCCATTGTTTGCTGTTCCATTGTCAGGTGTATACCTGTTGTCCTGGCCAACGGTCCCTTTGTCATTATGTAATGTACTTCTTTATCCCCAAGAAGTTTCCTTGCTTTGAAGTCTGCTCTGTCTGAATTAATATAGCCACTTCCTTTTCTTCTGGGTAGTGATGGCATAACATATTTTCCTTCATCCATTTACTGGAGCTCTGTGTGTCTTCACATTTAACGTGGATTTCTTGTAGACAACATGCAGGTGAGTCTTTAGTCTCTTTTGCCAGCTTTTGTTAAGACCCTAATCTGAGGGCCTCCCCGGTGGCGCAGCGATTGAGCGCTGGGTTGCGAAGCTGCCCGCAGCCTCTGCGGCGCCAGTTTGATCCCCGGCTGCTCCCCGGCCACCGGAGGAGGGTCCCGCATGGCGCGCAGACCTCTCCTGCCGCCCGCTGCTCCCCTCAGCAGTGTACTTCGGTCCTTCTGCCTGCTCTGCTCCCCGCTCTGGCTCTGGTGAATTCTCTCACCCTCCCGCGCTTCTGACTGTACCCAGTGCATGTATAAACAAAAAACCAAACAAATAAATAAATAATAAAACATGCCTCTATTAAATAAATAAAATAAATTTCTTAAAAAAAAAAAAAAAGGACCCTAATCTGAGTATTATTATATATGCCTTATATCACTCTCTGACGATGTGAAACTATGTTACAAGCCCCCCAATAAAGTCTCTTATGTTTAACAACTTGATTCAGATTCCAGGGAACCCTTCTCCATCCAGTGACCTCAGTGAAAGCTCAGGAAAACAGCTGGCTTTCAGTACTTTTGTGTGGGATTTCTTTTGTATCATTTTTTAAAAATATCAAAATAGGACAGTATTTTCCGTCAACTGTTCACAAACTCCCCTCAAAAACTGGATTTGGACATTATGACGGAAGTAAAAGCTAGTTTTTATCATGTGTCTATTCAATTATTCTTTCCAAAATGACAATTTGAATTATTTGATAGTGGTCTTAATATTGATGTTACAGTGTATCAGCCTTCACACAAATAGTACTTACAAATAACTAATAGCAATATTAGGAATTTAAGCAATCTTCCTGTCTAGGCTCCTCCTCATTCTAGATCAACTCAACCTACACTTCTCACCACCAGAACTAGAATAAGACCAGTATGAGGTAGACAAACTCCTCCAACATCACAGGAAATGCCCTGGGTTATGGAGTCCACAGTGCAGAGAGAAACCACTCTTGGTCAGGCAGGAACCTTTGAAAAAGACTGAACCTGGTCTTGACTCACCTGGGACCATGCCACCTGAAGCCCTCAACACTGAGTGGCAACGATGTGTCTTCTAGAGATGGCGGGCCGCCCGACACATGGTCAGGTAACTCCAGAGCCCCTGGTAAGCTCCAGGAGACTGGGCACGACCCCCTGCCTCCTCCTCCTGCATTTGCTCCCCCTCCCCGACCTTCCAGGAGATCCCTAACACACTTATGGAGCAAGAGACCTTGTAGCCTGATTTTCAGATGTCAACAATCCAAAATGGAGGAGGAAATTCTGCAGAAAGGAAGATCTTTCTCTTGTTCACATTGCCTGGGAAAGAAAGAGGTAAAGCACTCCCAGATCTGTGGGTTCAGACCTAAATGTCAAAACTTGCAAAGGTGCAGGTGGGGATATTAGTGACCAAGTCTGTGAGGAGGGTGGGGGAAAACCACAGGGAACAGCCATGAAGAAATGACACAGCAAAAATTCAGTGGAGGAAACATGTGAACCTATTTAAATACCTTTTCTGTCACCATATACTTTGAATGATTTCAGTAATCTTAAGAATTTATAAAGCAAGATTATCTTAATTTGCATATAATCATTTATAAAATGAAGGCAAATCAGCCCCCTAAAAGTTAGACCATTTAAAAAGTATAATGTATTTAAAGTGTGCTGGAAAACTTACTGTAACTATCCCTTTCATATTTTCCAGTGTTTACAGAGCACCAGCTAAATCAAAGTTGATGGTAACTAACATACAGGAGATGACAGTGCTTGTGAAAAAAATATCTCAGTGTGCATATGGTAAGACCTTTGAGGTCTTACGTGTTTGAGGAAGAACATGCTTGGTTACATGTCAAAAATATCCATTGTTCTACACTGGGTCAATCATTATCTTGTGGAGATCCTGTAAGAGGGCACCAGATGAAGGTGCGGGGCTCCCTCCTACATGCCCACAGCGCCAGTGCAGCAGAGTCAAGCCAAGACAAGGAAGCAGTAGGTGCCCACAGCAGGCCTCGGCTGCAAGGGTCTGGCGAGAGCAGCAGGAAAACAACCCTCTCCTCTTGGAGGCAGGCAGTGTTGCCATAGGATGTTTTTCATTCTATTATAATTCCTATAACATTAACCCACAACTATATTTTTACTTGTGTCATCCAGAAATGTGAACCCAGTGGGTGCTCCGCTATTATCTGCTTAGAAAAACACTCGGAAACACTCACTTGATCCGAACCAAGTCTCATGGGGTAGCGGGAGGAGGGCCTGTGGCTCGTGTAGGCACTGCAAGGACTCCGGCATCTTTCCAGCTCCACGAAGTTTGTGAGTCACAGATAAAATAAAGTGGGGGCACACCTGCAGGCAGGGAGACGCCCACCCCCTCGAGGAGTCTAAAGGTGCCTTTCACAGGATACACTGCTGTGGGGGGACACCAACCTTGCCGGGGGCAGGGCACGGCCTCCTACTGGGGAGGAGGGACAATTCAGATACTGACAGTGAAAGTCAGATTGTCGCTTTTTGTTATCTAGCTATTTGGAGTTCCTTGGTGCAAAATAAAAGATGCACTGGGCGACAAATGTCTTCTTTGGGGGTTAGATGTTTTGCTTCCAGTGGAAAGAAGCATTCTCAACGTGTATTTGCTTATACACAAATATTTATTTATTTATTTATTTATTTATTTATTTTTTTATGGGACCCTCGCCGGTGGCCAGGGAATGAACCGGTGCTACAGAGGCTGCGGGCAGCCTCGCAGCCCAGTGGCTCAACCGCTGCGCCACCAGGGGAGGCCCATACACAAATATTCATTTTGCATTTTCAGAGCTAAATGTTAAGCATTTAATCATGGAAGAGATGAGGTCCTTGCTGTGGGATGAATATTCTCTAACAGAGAAGATGAAACTTGTAAACAAATCAATTTTAATGTGTTGCACGAAGCGCTACAGTGAAGGCCCGATGAGAGTGCAGGTGAGGACACAGAATTCAAAGGCCACGTGCCACACCAGGGTCAGCTTGGGAAAAAAGCCAGGCCCTAATTTCCAGTTCTTTGTGGATCCAGGCCTCACTTCCCTACTGTGAACATATGCCTAAGTTGGTACTTACTATTTCTACTGAAACATACGTCGTTGCTCCCCCACAGGGACATTAAATTTCTATTTTGTTCCTGACAGATTAGAGTATCACAGGACAGCCAAGAAATCTGTCTTTGGAATCAGGGTCCTTGCCTTTAAATCTGCCACTTGTTACCTATTTCTTGATGCCGCTCCTTCCATTCCTCCAAAGGGAATCAGAACACAGACATGGCATGAAAATTACATGAATTACTGTCAGGAAGTTACCAGGAACCGAGGAAGCACTCAGTGTCTATAGATAAACTCATCGTTATTGCTAGAATATGAGTTTCTGAAAGGCAGAAACAAGATCCTATTTTGGGGGTGTCCGTTGTGAAGATGCCCTGGATGGAATTGTGCCCATTACTCTGTAAATATGTAGCCCAAGATGAGATCCGACTTTAGGGACACAATTTACAATAGAGATGGCATATACAATCATGTCTAAGTAAGCTGAGATCTGCATGAAGCCATAAATAAGGTTAGAATACATTGCGCTTTTGGGCTATGAATTAACAACCACTGGCACTTCTTCCTTTACTCAATTTCACCTAGGCATTATGCCACTAGCATATGACTATAGGTTCTTTCCTTGCTGTATTTCCTAATGTCTTAACTCCCTAATCTTGCTTTAATGAAACAAAGCTGAGTGATACGAGGAACCAACCAATCTTGCTGACAGAAGCCTACGGCCTGCCTTTGCCTCGCCTTGTAAATCTGCTAATACCTGCTCTTCATTCGTGTGTGCCGCCATGAAATAATAAAAACATAATGAAAGAATGTTCCAGACAGTGCTTACTGATACTTGTTTTGTCACTTTAGTCTGTGTCATATAAAGAATGGATTTCATTTCCCTCAAACAAGATAACTTCTCCCTAGAGAAAATGATGCATCATTCATAGTTTCCTTTATACCGCTCTTCTATTTTTCTTTACCTTTTATGAACCTCTGGGAACAACTATTCACAATTTCTCAGTTAATGACTAGTTAGGCTTTTGAAATTTTACTGATAAGAGTCCAGGGCTATTGTTTGAGATTACTAGCTGAAATAACCCAATTTCTGTTTTCTGAAATCTGTTCTGAGTCTCTCTCCCTTCGAGGGGGAGGGGAAGGAAGGAGTGCAAGGTGTGGAGGAGCCCTAAGGAGCTGGTGGAGGACCGTGAGTCTCTGGTACTGGGTGTGGTGTGTTCCCATCGGAAGAGGTGTGACCCTGTGCCTCTGAATCACATGCAGTGTTGTGAACCAATGTGACCTCAAAAAGTAAACACAAGGGTAGCATGAGGTTGTGTGAGCAATGTGACGGCTGCCAGTGAGCACAGGGCAAGTGAACAAAGGATGAAAAGAACCAACTCAGAGCACTTCTAATGCAGCCTCTGGCCCAGTAGAAAGAGAGGTGGGACGGGACACACCACTCCTTAGGACTTCACTTCATTTGTGCAAATGGAATTTGTGTCCTGCCAGAATCACTGGTGGTGTAAAACCTATCACCAAAGAAAGCAATGCTAGCCCCATATTAGACTATCATCTCCCCGAGTCCCAACTGCCTATGCACTACCTCACAGGAGGGAAACTACCATACCACACAGACTGCAGTCCAGCACCCCATTACCACGTTTACCGAGAGACAGGATGTAATTTAATTTTCTGAATGCCCTCTGTTTCTCCCTTGTCTTATGCAACAACTCTTGGGCTTATACATTTGTGGAAAACAAAAGATGTTCATAGTCTTCAATCATCCTGGCTTATGCTATTGAGCGTTTTTCTGGGTTGGTGGTGTTCTTTGTAGGTGCACAGCTTAAGTGACAGCTCCCTTGTCCCCATGCTGTGGGCCTAGAAAAACAAAGGGTAGGATTTCGAGACCCAAATGGTTAGTGTCCATCATTAACAGATCCCTAAATCCAATCCACCACCAGCATCCTCCCACTCTGGAGCTGCTGAGGACCTAGGGCTTGAAGAAAATTTATCTAGAATTACAGCCTCCAGAACTGTGAGAAAGTTAATTTCTGTTGTTTCTGTCATCCAGTCTGTAATGCTTTGTTAAAGCAGCCTTAATAAACTAATGAAGGAACATTTTCTTGAACTTGTTTGTTGGGAAATATATTACCTGACATAGCATTTCAAATTCCTTGCTGAATTTCAAGTGAGAGAAGCTAATTAGTTTTTTGCCTCAAAGTCACATCTTGTATTGGTAAAGTAGTTTATTTACCTGCTTTAATGAAAATGAACATTGGTGGTCCCTGATATCAAATATTTAATCAAATCAAATTTTATCCAATACTGGAAAGTCACTGGCTTCAGGTTGTTTGAGGAATCAATAGTGTATGTGAGTAGGAACATCTCTAAATTCTAGTTTAATTCATTATGTCACCATAAAAATGGTTAAGGGAGATCAATGTCCAACTTGTTTTTGCAAGGCAGGTACTATGATAATAAAGTCAAATGTAAGTTGAAAACATTTTAAAGATTACTGCAATTCTCACTGTTGCGATCTGGCTTTTTTTTTTTTTAAATAAGAAAACTAGCTTGAGCCAAAAGAAGTAGGCTCATATTTCTAATCATTAATCTCCAGGATAAATACATAAAAAGGAAGCAGTTCTCCAACATGAAGTTAAAGCCGTGGGGGAGTTGGACAAGGGAAGGAAGGTATCTGTTTCTAGTAAAGCCAGAGAAAGAGAGAGAGACAGAGACACACACAGGGTAGGCTGGGGACACGGAGCACGGGAAGCCGGCACTCGAGTGAGAACACTGCATCTGCTGAGTGAGAGTGATGCTGGAGACCAGACCGACCCCCTTGACACCCCTGCTGGACCCAGCAGTTTCTGGTGACAACTGGAAGCAGTCACACCATGTTTCGAGAGGTGCTACTAACACCACTCCCAGCACCACCAGGGCCTCTCAGTACTCAACATCCCATGACAATGAATAAATCCTCTTGTCTTGGGACCAAGACAACCTAAAGTAAAGGTTGTGCTAATTAATTCCTTCTTTCCCCACTGAGTCTGCATTTTAATGAATGAACATTAGATGTTCATAGATGTGGCCGGGGCCTGGGGATGGGCAGACAACTGTGCTTCAATCCGTGTAGCTAATTCTGGGCTAAGTGGAACTGGATCCATTATAAATGCCAGGGCTTTACACAATGGCATTGCAAATGCCATCGACATCTGATTCAACATTTTCTTCTATTCCATAATTACTTAATTATTATCAATTAAAAGCGTGGCATGAGCATATGGTAGCTTCCAATCTGCTCATTTCATCCTCTCAATTTGTTACTGCCATTAATTTAGCTGATGGTGACAACATTTAACCAAATCAAACTCATGAATACAGCCTGCCAGGCCCAGGCCTTTCTCTCTGCATCTTATGTTCATTCATCACCACCTGACTTCGATAATGTGATCAAATCTGAGTAGAATAAAACATTTTGGGGACTTACATTTTGATGAAAATGATTTGAAGATACTGAAATTCATCATTCTTAATTCCCTAAAAATCTTATTATTTTTATTTTGAAAATGCTAAATATTCCAAATATTTTCTATTGTTCCTCAGATGGTTCTATGCAAATAAAATGCACAAGTTCCTCTGTGTGATACGTGTATTTTTGTCCTCAAAATGACGTAAATATTCTTTACGGAGCAGCACACACTCAGGGAAACCCATCAGCTTCACATATAAGCGAATGATTGCTAATTTTTTATCTGACCACATTTCTACTTCCTCTTTTGTGGGGAAAAAGTTATGAGACTACGTGAGGAAGACGGGGTATGTTTTCAGATTATTTCCAATATGAATAGAAAACAATGTAAATTATTTGCTATGTCCCTTACATTAGACCCCACTGCTCTAGTTTATATATCGAGTGGAGCTTCTAACTTGCATGCGTTGATGACAATATACTAAGTACTGATTACTTGGAAGTATTTGGTTCAGTGTTTATCTCAAGCTAGTGGTGGCTTGGAAATAGGATATTTAGAAATGGAAATCTTCCATGTTACAACACACCCTATTTCGCTTCCTTTCCTTAGAGAACCGTACCAGAAACCGGGAATGGGGGTGGGAGTAGGGGTGGGGGGTGGGGTGTGTGTGTGTGTGTGTGTGTGTTTGCTAATGGTATTGTTTCCAGGCTTTTGCAGCTGATGGAGCAGGAACTGCTGCGCACATACAAATCTGTATCTCTGCGAAACCATGCAGAGCCATATTGAGCTCATAGCATTACCATAACTTCCAGCCATGGCCACAGAAATCACTCCGGCCTCCTTGCCTTCTCTGTGTGTACTCAACCTTTCTACCTAGTGAGCAATCTGCTCCCAACAGTCTGATACTCTTTCATTTGCTCAACTCGGGTATTCAGATACAGTGTGACACCATAAATGATACCATAGGAAACACCTTTATCAATTAGAGTATCATTCTTTGAATAGTTTCCTTTGCCTTTAATCTTACTGAATCGACTCATTTCTAAAATTACTTAGGCCACAAACTTCCTTTACTAAAATCAACTCATACACTGAAACTATGACTATCCACTATCAGGTGGTATACTTAATAATTCTGCATGTTTAACTACCGTTTTAAGCTTGTTTTCAGCGAGACAACAGAGCTTTTGCCCAACTTCTCTGAGTTACATAATCCACGCATGTGCAAAAGCAACTGACTTAACCCAAATTTCAAGCTGGTTGAAACCAAGAGACCTCCAACACAGAACCAAAAAAACAAAATACAACAAAACAAAAAACCAAACAAACAGAAGAACAGATACAAGTGACAGTCCAGACCATATTTAAAAGTGAAGGGTCTGTCCCAAGAATACAGAAGTCCTTGCCATAGACAGACTGACAAGTAACTCTATGGGCTTCTGCATAGCTCTAACTTTCTATTCCCTTCCTTTTTCCATTTCTATAAAATTAGAACTAGCCCTCATGTGGGAGAGATTCATTGAGTTTTGCTTCCCGTCTCCTTGCTGATCAACCACACAATAAAGACAACTTCTTCTACCCTCAAAAGCCAGTGTAATAATGATTAGTTTTCTGTGCATCTCAGGCAGCAAGCCTCATTTAGTAACATTAATGATTCTCTTTGTCAACACAGTGTGCTTTCGGTCTTGAACTCTCCTGACCTCTGAAATGATTTTTTTTTTTTTAATTTGCGTTCCTTAAAGATCATTCTTTCACCTGTAAATTTTATGAGTTTTGACAAAACTGTAGCATCATATACCCACAATTACATAATAGTAAATTGTTTCACCACCCTAAAAAAAGGACAAAAACAAAAATATGCTTCACCCGTTCAATTTTCTTCCCCTTTTGCCAACTCTAGATCTTTTTATCATTTTTCTTTTTTGTGATTTGATTGCACATTTCTTTTTACCACTGAATAACATTCTCTTGCATGGATGTAACAGGTTGTTTATACATCCACTCATTGAAGGACATCCCTATAGCTTCCAATATTTGGCCATTATGAATAAAGCTGCTATAACTTATGTGTAGGTTTTTGCGTTGAACATAAGTTTTCACTTACTTGGGGCTATGGTCCTCAATTCAATAGTTGGGCTCCGATTACCAATCAGGAGGCAGGGCTTTTGGGAGGTGATTATGTCATGAGGCAGAGTCTCTGCATGAATGGGATTAGTGCCCTTAAAAAAGAGATCCCACAGCATTCCCTTCCATCACGTGAGGACAGCGTGAGAAGCTGGCAGTCTGCAGCCCAGAAGATGACTTTACCAGAACCTACTCAAACTGGCAACTCATCTCCTAGACTCCAGAGCTATGAAAAAAGTATTTGTTGGTTTGCAAATTCCTGATTTGCTACAGCAGCCCAACGGGATTATGATATTGAGTAAACACCTAGAGTGTGAATGCTGGATTGCATGCCAAGCCTACATTTACTTTTATAAGAAACACTCCGTTGATCTTCCAAAATGGCTGAACTACCGTAATACCGGAAGTAAGAAACAAGTTGCTCCTTTGCTCTGCCTCTCCACCAGCAATAGGCATTGCCAGTTCTATGTATGTCGGCTGTTCACTTAGTAGGCATGCAATGGTGTCTCAATGCTTTCATCAGAAATTCCCTAATGACACATGATCTTGAGTATCTTTTTCATATGCTTATTGCTAGCTCTTCTTTGGTGAGGTGACTGTTCATATTTTCTGTCCATACAAGAAGCTTTTCCTACCACCCCAGCAGAAAGTCATGTTCCATCTTCGCTGCCACAAGTACCTGGATTCTACCACCTACAAGTTTAACTTTCAAAAAGTGCCCTCATTCTGGACGGTTTTCTAAAGAATCACAAAGTAGGAGAAAAAATATAATCTATTTTGAAGGACTCAATAATCTCACAGTTGAAAACCAACTCAAAATTTAAGGACAGGCAATTCTGTTGAAGCTGGTCAATTAGAAAGTGTAGAGAGAAATACAATTGCAGAAGTAATGGAAAATTTTAAGGAGAAAAATTACAAAACAGAAATACTTTTTGGAATTCAAAAGCATGATTGATTTTCAAGTTCAAATATACAACTGAGAAATTCTAAAAGTCTAAGTTAAAAAATAACATCATGAAGGGGCCTCCCTGGAGGCTCAGGGGCTAAAGACAGCTATCAAGCTACTGCCAGCCACTGTAGCATGAGTTCGATTCCCCAGCTGGCCAGGGAGGTGACCCACATGGCACAGCAGACCTCTCCTGTCTTACCCGCTGTTCCCCTCAGCAGTGTATTTCAGTAGATCTGTGTGGTTTGCCCCCTCCTCTGTATGTGGTGAATCCTCCCCCCACCCGGCCTGCACCCCAGCTCTTGTATGCATAAATAAATAAAGCTGATAAGGAAAAA